ATTACTCATCTTTCTTTAAAATTTTATGCTTTTATAGTAAAAAGCGACAAAAAAGGCTACAGAATCAATCTGTTTTGATCGTTGATACTATTGGCTTGAACAAATGCCAGAAGTTTATTTTTTTTTTTCTGCTTAGGCTGTCGTTTTTCATTTGTTTTCCAATCACTTCTGCTGAACAGTGATGATGTACAGAGTTTTTTCTTTCAGTTTCTTTTTATGCTGGATAAAATTTTTAGTTGAAGCTTAGGAAACAATTGTCTCTCTGTTTTTGCCCCTTTTGCCTATCATCAATGCAAGTTTACATGGAACAGTAACTGCTTGAACAACTTTTACACATTGAGTTTAAGTTTCTTCAAATAAAATTGTTGACTGTTACTGTGGTGTTATGAATAAAACAAAAATTTGGTTGCGGTCAACATACCAGTTAAATTGTCTACGAAAAAAAAAAAATAATGAAAAAAGCAGGACATGTATTTTTCTTTTTTGTTGTATAAATAGTTATTTTCAACTAATGATAAAACCCCTCTATTCCTATCTTTTGAAGGATTATTTGGTACGATTGTTGTTAAAAAATTACGGGTATTCCTCGTCTAATAAAATAGAAAAAAAAAACAATAGACAGTTTTCCTAAATCAACAGCATACTGGATAAATAAGGCCGTTTGACCAAAAATAGCACACAGTTGTCACTGATAAACACCAATGACAAAAGAAAAAAATTAATTTGTTTATTTAATTCAACAAAGCAAAAAAAGAAAAAAGCAGATAATTTGACAAAAAATGATCAAATTTGTTTGTCATTTTTAATTTGATATCGTTACTCACAGTTACCAATAGGGCAATTTGCCAAAAAGAACATGCGGCGCGAGTCAAATTAGCCATCGGTTTTGTATCATTTTTTTTTTCATTTAAAACTTTACTATTACTTCTATTTTTTTTTCTTCTATCAACTGAATAATTGGTTTGATTTTTTAGAACTTTTTTTTTTTCAAAATAAAACTTCACAGTATGTAAAAAAATTGAAAAGTGCTCTTACTTTTGTCGTAATAATTTTAAATTTGATCTTTATAAACAGCAATGATGATGCGTTGAATAAGATAAACAAATATATTGCACAGCATAAGAGTGATTTGTCTGCAAAATTAATTTTCTATATACCAATATGCATCAATTTATTCTGATGTGATATCAATCATACAAAATTTGTGCACCTGTTGATCGTTGTTGTTTGATCGTTGTCATCATCATCATCATCATCATCATCATCATCGTCAACGTCATCGTCGCCGTCATCAACATCAACATCAAAATCATTGGATTCATTGGGTTGTCAGTGCTAAATAAATGACCATTTTTCTTTTTCGGGTTTTTTTTTTGTTTATTTGTTTGTTTGTTTTATTCAGCTG